GTCTATGAAGGCTAAAACAAGATGTCCACTGGAAAAATAATGTCAAAAGATACCAATACCATTAATTACTTGTATAATTAGTTCTGTAACAGAGACCTCCAACCTTAGCCCTAGCTGTTAATAAAGAAAGCATAACCAGCAAGTTTTAAGAAAGCTTAAGAGCAACATTTCTAACAGCTTTTTCTTTTTTAAATACCTACATTGGAAGACAGATTTAAAAAAACTTGAGCTCCAAAAGAAGAACATTCCTATCACTGCAAGTTTTAGCCCCAGCCCCCAATCTAACTGAATTTCCAGGACACTTATTTCAGCACACTGATTTCTTATCCCATGTTCCTCTTGCTCAGCAGACAGTCTTATCTCTGTCATTGGATGGCTGAAGTAGAGCCTTTACAGGAAAGATTAACTCAGCTATGGTGCCTTTAAAGTTCTGATGATAAAAGCAAACCACCATTTCATGTGACAGTCCACCTTGGACTTCTATGACTCTGGGCAGTCGAAAGAGGAGCAGGCACTTTTGAGGAGGACGTGCCCACCCAGAAGAAATAAAGCATATGGACATGCCAGTCCAGGGATGCCTTGGTCCAAGCAATGCCTCACTACATCTGTGACTAGACACAGGACTTGGCATTTCTGAGCTGACAAGCCAACCTTTTCGTTATAAAACAAAGTGTCTCCAAGAGAGACATGACATACGGGCAGCATGGGACTGAAATCACAGGGAAATCATTAAAGAGGATCGCAGTGCTGGGTTTCCTAATTCTCCAAAGATAGTCTCAAGACCAAAGGACAGGCTACACCTACACCACGACAATATGTTAACTGGGTAGAAAAAAAACTCTGTCAGAAAACCAGGGCTAGAAAGGAATGGAAGCTATTGCAAACTCATTTGACTAAACATAACTGCTTTTTATGGACTGTTGCTCCAGAAATTGTAAGATAAAATAAAACCTGTTTCACTACAGCACACCCCAGATCTAGATTTGCACACAGGAGACACTCTCAGGATGGAGTTACTTATTATGCCTTTGGATGATTTAACATCTAACCATATGCTAATGGAGAAGATCCTATTCATGCCTCCTCCCCCACAATATGCAGAATACTCCTTGCCTCCCGTTTCACCAGCATTTGCCAAAAATCCTACCAAGCTGACTCAACACTGACTCGACTGTGCTAAAATGAACAACTTTCTGTGGGATTAGCAAATTGAATTAACTCAGCGAAGGGTCAATCGAGTGCCAAAGCAATGGGACCTCACCCCAAAACATTGAGATTTGGTGGTGTGTCTCTCTTCCACCACAGAGGTGTGAAAAGACAGTGCAGGAAGGAAGCAGCTGGGGATCCTAGACAACAGGAACTGAAATTGCAGAAGTAACAAAGTAGGAAACCCCAGGCACTGATGTAGACATCAATGACCTTCCTATCATTTTGAGGCATGCCCCCTTTAAAGTTCTGGGCTCCAATGCACTCAAACACCCTCTCTCCCCTGCCTTCCACATTTCTTCACTTGTCTCCCATCATCTGTCCTCTGAGCTTCACCATCCCCAAAGCCTCATTGTCTTCCCTTAGTGTTTCTTCTTCCTGATTTAAACTCATAATCTCAGTAACAACAGGAGCATGAACAGGACACTCATCACCATTGCCATAATCACTGAGCACACACGTCCCACCCCTTTCCCCTTCCTTTTTCCATGTCCTCACACTGTCCAGGAGACCGGCAATCGCAACGGGTTTATGCAATGACTCTGATAACGGGGTGCTGCAGTAGCTCCCACAAACACACACGACTGCTAAGAACAGTCTTCTGGTTGACCCGGCGTAGACAATATACAACAGTTTTCCTTCCACATCAAAAGATCTCCCAAACCAACCAACAACCCACCAACACCACAGGGCCCTCTTCCTTTCAGCGAAGCGCAATTCCAATTAACCTCTTTGATGGACTGGAAAATAAACGCACTGCTTTTCTGGAAGATAATCCATTTCAGCCCACAAAGATGACAGGAAACTAGTCACCAATTAGAAAGCAACCACGCGTGCTTCAGATCTACGGCAGATAGTGAGCCTCCTCTTTGCACCCCTTGCTTTCACAGGACGTGGTCTGGATTTACCTGCAGCACAAAGAATCATAGAATCATAGAATTGCCCAGGCCAGAAGGGACCTCCAAAGGTCATCTAGTCCAACCCCCCCACAGTCAGCAGGGACACCCCCAACTAGACCAGGTTGCCCAGGGCCTCGTCGAGCCTCACCTTGAATATCTCCAGGGAAGGGGCCTCAACCACCTCCCTGGGCAACCTGTTCCAGTGCTCCACCACCCTCACAGTAAAGAACCCTCTCCTGATCTCCAGTCTAAATCTGTTCCCCTCCAGCTTGAAGCCATTGCCCCTCGTCCTGTCACTACAGGCCTTTCTAAACAGGCTCTCCCCAGCCTTCCTGTAGCTCCCTTCAGGTACTGGAAGGCTGCTATTAGGTCTCCCCGGAGCCTCCTCTTCTCCAGGCTGAACAACCCCAGCTCCTTCAGCCTGTCCTTGTAGCAGAGGTGCTCCATCCCCCTGATCATCCTTGTGGCCCTTCTCTGGACCCTCTCCATCAGGTCCATGTCCTTCTTATATTGAGGGCTCCAGCCCTGCACACAATACTCCAGGTGAGGTCTCACCAGAGCAGAGTAAAGTGGCAGAATCACCTCTCTGGACCTGCTGGCAACGCTTCTTTTGATGCAGCCCAGGATGGGATTGGCCTTCTGGGCTAACAGAGTCCGAGCTAACAGCCAACATCCGAGTAGCTACCCCTGCGTCTCCCAAGGGAGACAAACACTGGCTGCAAAAACACGTGGGGAGAAAAGTGAGCAAAACACGGACAAATAACGCGCTCCTGAACGTCAAGGTCCAGCGGGGTTTTCATCATTTCCTAACATCCCAGCTTCTTTCCCACATCGCAGCAAAACAAAACAAAATGTAGGTGGAACCAAAGCCCTATTTTATTAGCAGGAAAATGAAGTTATTTAAATTCACCCATCTGTTCCGGCCAACCATTTATGAGTAATTCTCAACATTTCAGTCACCTGAAAAAAAGACAGTGAGTTCTAGGCACAAAGACTTCCTAAGCAGCTAATATTCAGGATCGCAGATGATTAAACCTTAGAGTGTTTCATTCTTTCAGAGCTTTGTTTCTCGCCTGGCTTCCTGGCTGCTTTTTGTCTCTAGCATTTCTCTCCCATTTCTGGCAGATGAAGTGGAGGTGGAAAAGAAAAGGGATGAAAGTTCTTGGGTAGCATAAGGATTATTATAATTTCCAATCTTTCAGCAAGGAAGAGTTTGCTCAGGGAACTGATGACATAATGCTGCTACCTACTCCTCCACCCCACTTTATTATTTTTTTTTTAAACATATGTTTATTTCACTGAATTTCACTGAATTTCTAGAGTTGGAAGGGACCATAGAGATCATCTAGTCCAACTCCCCTGCTGAAGCAGGATTGCCTAGAGCTTGTCAGAGCATGTTACTCAGGAGCATCCAGGCGGGGCTTGAAAATCTCCAAAGAAGGGGACTCCACACCCTCCCTGGGCAGCCTGTTCCAGGGCTCTGTCACCCTCACCGTGAAGAAGTTTCTCCTCATATTTGAGTGGAACCTCTTATGTTCCAACTTGTGCCTGTTGCCCCTCGTCCTCTCAGTGGGAACCACTGAAAAGAGTCTGGCTCCCTCCTCCCTCAGCCCGCCCTTGAGATACTTGTAGGCGTTGATAAGGTCTCCCCTCAGCCTTCTCTTCTCCAGACTAAAGAGTCCCAGCTCTCTCAGTCTCTCCTCATAAGGGAGATGCTCCAATCCTTGAATCATCTTTGTTGCCCTTCGCTGGACTCTTTCTAGTAGTTCCCTGTCCCTCTTGAACTGGGGAGCCCAGAACTGGACGCAGGATTCCAGTGGTGGCCTCACCAGTGCAGAGTAGAGGGGGAGAATGACCTCCCTTGACCTGCTGGCCACACTCTTCCCTATGCAGCCCAAGATACCATTGGCCTCCTGGCCGCAAGAGCACACTGTTTACTCATTGTCATTTTACTGTCCACCAGGACCCCTAGATCTTTCTCTTCAGTAGTTGCCTCTAGCGGGTCCACCCCTAACCTGTACTGGTACCTGACATTTTTCTTCCCCAGGTGCAGGACCCTACACTTTTCCCTGTTGAACCTCATGAGGTTCTTCCTTGCCCAGCCCTCCAGCCTGTCCAAGTCTCGCTGGATGGCGTTTACAATTATGAAATCATACAACCCATGGACAAAGTGTAGTTCATTTATCCCCTTTCTGCCCCCAAATCCACAGGGATGAGACTTCCCACCCGCACATTTCCTCCGCCTTCTTCTTGTTGCTGTGGGCAATTTCAAATAGAAAACTGCAATTCAGAGACATCCTCCATCACGCACCTGGGTGTGACCATTTGGTTCACACCCAAACCTGATGCAAATGTAGGTGCCACTCATCAACAGGACAGTTATGCCACAGATAACAAATCATCCCAACTCCCTAAATTAAACAACAGTATTAGCACAGGGACAAACTTGCTTTCAAAGCATCCTTGGTATTCTGCCCGATTCCCTGCCCTTGTTCAAGACAAAGGGAGAACTGTCCCTGCATAGCTCTACTTATGTTTCCTTCCAGTGTTCTGAAATAAGAGCTCCTTAAGATCTTGCATTTTGTTTTCAATTGGAAAGGTCGCCTGGATTGGGTGGCAAAACGAGTCCGTACACTTTTTTTAATAAGGAGAAAAGAGATGGGAGTTTGTTTTCAACTGGAAAGGTCGTCTGGATTGGGTGGCAAAACGAGTCCGTACGCTTTTTTTAATAAGGAGAAAAGAGATGGGACATGGGCAAGGAAGGGAGAGGAAATAAGTTGTAAATTAGAAAAAGTCTCAGAGAAATAAGTGAAAGAATGAAACTCTAAGAGCCTACAGAATCTAATTGTCTCTCGAGCGCTAGAAAATGCGAAAAGGAATGTGATGACTACTTACATATAATATGTAGGATATAATCCTTCAAAGTACCAGCAATGCTTTTTGGCCTCTGTACACTACAAAAGAAAAAAAAATAAAATATGGTATTAATATTTACGTAGGACAATGCACAATTATAAACACAAGCATGAAGTATTTCTAAATACTGTGACATTGAGCAATTAGCACAGGTTTATATTTCCAAAGATTTCCCCATCTTGATAAACACAGCAACGGGGAAGGCGGTTGACATGAACGGCAGCGTGCCCTGCCGGGGTTTGGAACCCCCAGGCAGGATTTTGGCTGTGGAGCCCCACAGCTTCCCACCATTCCCGAAAAAACTCAGTACATTGGAGGCAAGCACAGAATCCAACTGCAAGTATTGCCTGGCAGAGCTGCTGTTTTAAAAGCCCAACAGAGAACTTAAGAGCTCATGGTGGTTGTAGTCACTTAAGAGACCTCTAAGGTCTCTTCACAGAATCACAGAATCACAGAATTGTAGTGGTTGGAAGGGACCTCAGAGATCATCGAGTCCAACCACAAAAAAAAAAAAAAAAAAAAAAACCCACACAAAAAAAAAAAACAACAAAAAAACCAAAAAAACCCACCCACACCAGCTCCCACCGCCTCCCACCCACTCAACCCCCCACCACAAACCAGTAATCTTGGGCACTAGAGCATGCCCTGAAGAACCATGTCTACACGTTTCTTAAATACCTCCAGGGATGGTGACTCCACCACCTCCCTGGGCAGCCCATTCCAATGCTGGATAACCCTTTCAGTAAAGAAATGTTTCCTAATATCCAACCTGAACTTCCCCTGGCGCAACTTGAAGCCATTGCCCCTTGTCCTGACATCTGTAACTTGGGAGAAGAGACCGACCCCCGTCTCTCTACAGCCTCCTTTCAGGTACTTGTACAGAGCGATAAGGTCTCCCCTCAGTCTCCTCTTCCCCAGACTGAACAACCCCAGAATCTACGATCTACGTAGATCTACGATCAACAGCTTGATTGTAGAATCATAGGATGGTTAGAGTTGGAAGGGACCTTCAAGATCATCTTATTCCAACCCCCCTGCCCTGGGCAGGGACACCTCCCACCAGAGCAGGTTGCTCCAAGCCCCATCCAGCCTTGCCTTGATGAAACTATGCATATGACTACCAGTAAATTCAATAATTGCCGGGAATTATTCATCTTTCTGGAAGTCTCTGATGTGCAGAGCCAGAAAGGCTCAGAAAGGAGGAGAACGGAGAACCCATCCATCCCCTCTCCTCTTCCTACAGCTTGGAAATAGCTCAAGCGTTCATTAAAGTACCGGGGAAAGGAAAAACTGCTTTGTGCAGCCCAGGGGTATTGTTCTCTCTTGCAGGCTGCCAGCGTATCCTCGTTAAAGGCTGGTGACAGGCCGTTTCTCAGCGTGTGTGTGTGTGTGTGTGTGTGTGTGTGTGTGTGTGTGTGTGTGTGTGTGTGTGTGTGTGTGTGTGTGTGTGTGTGTGTGTGTGTGTGTGTGTGTGTGTGTGTGTGTGTGTGTGTGTGTGTGTGTGTGTGTGTGTGTGTGTGCAGGCAACGTGGGAAGCACACATCGTTACAGGCACTTGCCAGAGTTAGAGGCGGCGGCTCAGAACAATAGCGGCGCTTCAAAAGAAAACCAGATGTCAAGTCCAAGCTCTCAAGGGCCACAAGGATGATCAGGGGGATGGAGCACCTCTGCTACAAGGACAGGCTGAAGGAACTGGGGTTGTTCAGCCTGGAGAAGAGGAGGCTCCGGGGAGACCTAATAGCAGCCTTCCAGTACCTGAAGGGAGCCTACAGGAAGGCTGGGGAGAACCTGTTTAGAAAGGCCTGCAGTGACAGGACGAGGGGAAATGGCTTCAAGCTGGAGGGGAACAGATTTAGACTGGAGATTAGAAGGGGGTTCTTTACTGTGAGGGTGGTGGAGCACTGGAACAGGGTGCCCAGGGAGGTGGTTGAGGCCCCATCCCTGGAGATATTCAAGGAGAGGCTCGACGAGGCCCTGGGCAACCTGGTCTAGTTGGGGGTGTCCCTGCTGACTGCGGGGGGGTTGGACTAGATGGCCTTTGGAGGTCCCTTCCGGCCTGGGCAATTCTATGATTCTATATGATTCTATACAACACACAAAATATTTCTGCCTATCCCGCTGACACTACGTCTTCGCTGCAGACGTAGCTCCGGGAGCTCCATCACCTCAAGCTGCGTTATCCCATCGCGCACGGCCGCGGCCTTGCGGGACATCCTCCACAGAGCAGTGAGGAATATCTTGCTGGGGTTTTAGCAACAATTCCCTCTGCTGCTCACGCCTGATATCGGATGCCTGAGAGCCCCCCCCGGGCACACTGGTGGTGCTGGGATCATCCTTCATGTTCACTTGGCAGCTCACCTTTAAATAATAGCTCGTACAAGTTTATTAGCCTCCCCGAATCCCAGAATACTAAATGAATCCAGTTAAGACAAAGACAAAGTGTTTTTAGATCCCCGGCTCTCACTCCTCATGAATAAGAAAGGCTGCAAGCTCTTTAATGAGCATCTGATGAGCTAAATCACAGACAGATGAATTACAGCCCATGAAGACAAACTGCTATGGATTGAATTGTTAAGAGCGATACAGGAGGTGGAGGGAGGAGGAAGAGGAGGAGAAGACGCTTTTGATGCGTGCGATCAGGCCTTTCCACTCACACAAGAGGCTCACACCGGTCTTCAAGATGGACAAGCTTTTGCTTCTGGTGAAAAAAGTGGAGCTTCTTCCTTGGGATAAATCCAGTGGAAGCCTCGTTCTCTTCTCAAATCAATGCCACGGTGGAGGCAGCAGGGTTCCATGGCTGCTGCTGGAGCAAGTGGTGCTCAAAGATCTATCTCCACGTTTGCCCTGTTCCCTCCTTCAAAGCTTTCAGCTTCATAACCCTTCCTCTGAATCTTTTCATCAGCTTGCTGTTCCCTCTTACTCTAAAATTCGAAATGTGCCACATTTCTCTCCGTAACACTCCACAAACAATATATGCACCGTAGACCCAGCAGGTCTGCTGCCCAGGCAGTGGAAAACGCTTTGGCTCTTTGCCTCTGAAGGCTGCAGATCAGCAGGTCTTGGCTAAAATCCTGCTGCCCGTAGGTCCATCCCTCCAGAAGTCTCATTTCAGACTCCAGCTTGGGGTGTGTAGACCCGTTAGATGTTTTGCCTTCCTGCTCCTCGACCCACGTGAGTCACCGTTTGCCTCAAAGCCTTCGTCAGACTCAAGCCTTTTAATTGCTGTTTTCCCAGCAATGCTCCTGAGCACGTGGAGCCCGCGTACCCTTTGCAAGTGGAAAGGAGACATTTATATTCAGCGTTCATTCTGCTCACCCTCCTCCCTGTATTTTAATCCCCTTTACAAGTTCTAAAAGGAGTGGGGAAGGTTCCTCCTTCCCACATCTCCCGAGCTGTAAGATTTCAGTTTCTGCCTCTTCACAACTCTCCGTTTCAGACAGCCAAGATGCTTTTACTGCTGTCACAAGAAAGGCTCCAGCCTGGGGAAGTTTTGCAAATAAGTATTTTACAGGGCTTAGATAACCTGCAGTAAAAATCCTTCGGGTCACAGACTTTGCTTTTGTACGGGCCCTGGAACAGCTGGTACCAATCATAAAATCAGAATTGTCCAGGTTGGAAGGGACCTTTCAGATCATCGAGTCCAACCACCAACCTCACTCTGATAAAACCCATCACTACCCCATGTCTCTAAGCACTATGGCAACCCGGCTTTTAAATCCCTCCAGGGATGGGGCCTCTACCCCTTCCCTGGGCAGCCCAGTCCAATTCTTAAGAACCCTTTCCATGGAAACATTTGTCCCAATCTCCAACCTGAACCTCCCCTGGTGCAACTGGAGGCCATTTCCTCTTGTCCCATGGCCTGGGACTTGGGAGAAGAGACCGACCCCCCCTGGCTACACCCTCCTTTCAGGGAGTTGGAGAGAGCCAGAAGGTCTCCCCTCAGCCTCCTTTTCTCCAGGCTCAACACCCCCAGCTCCCTCAGCCTCTCCTCACAAGACTTCTTCTCCAGACCCCTCACCAGCTCCGTTGCCCTTCTCTGGACCCGCTCCAGCCCCTCAATGCCCTTTTTTGTGGTGAGGGCCCTAAAACTGGACTCAGCCCTCAAGGTGGGGCCTCACCAGTGCCCAGTACAGGGGGACAATCACCTCCAGAGTCCTCCTCCCCACGCTGGTCCTGACACGGGCCAGGATGCTGTTGGCCACCTTGGCCACCTGGGCACACTGCTGGCTCCTGTTCTGCCGACAGTTGAACAATCGCGATACTTCCATGTTTTTTTTTAATTCTCACAGCCCTGTGAATGGCAGTCGTTGAGCTCTCCTACACGGGAATCTGGCAAACAAGCAAGCGGGCCTCAAACGGGAGCAGGAGAACTGAATCCTATACACATGATACATCAAACAACTTTACAGACACAGGGCGAACCACCACAGTCCCTGCTCGGTTAAAAATCCCACCCATCTCCATGGCAACTTGACGCTAGTAAACCCCGATACAAAGCAGGTGGCTGCTAACCACCATCTCTACTGCTGGTTAGCAGACCTTGGAGGAATTCACAGCTACGAATAGATTTAGATTGGAGATTAGAAGGGGGTTCGTTACTGTGAGGGTGGTGGAGCACTGGAACAGGTTGCCCAGGGAGGTGGTTGAGGCCCCATCCCTGGAGATATTCAAGGAGAGGCTCGACGAGGCCCTGGGCAACCTGGTCTAGTTGGGGGTGTCCCTGCTGACTGCGGGGGGGTCGGACTAGATGGCCTTTGGAGGTCCCTTCCGGCCTGGGCAATTCTATGATTCTATGATTCTATGAATAAGATGAGAATGTCATTTGCCTGGAAGGATTTGAGCCTCTTTGGTGCTCAGGTACTAGAGAGATGAACAGGGTAGTCAGGGCATAGATTAGTTTTTCCCTTCCCACACAAATGCTCCCAAGTAGCCTGTGATCATCTGTCTCTTGCCAAAATCCAAATTATTCTTCTGAGTGGCATTGGCCTCTTCGTTAAGCTGGTAGAGAGCCATACGAGCGTGAGAGGGGACGTACACCACCAGCATCAGGCTGTCATCCTCACACAGCCTTTGGAGGACGATGTAGTTGTTCAAGGAACTCCTTGTAGTTGTTCAAGAGTATTAAACCCTCAAGAAGCCGCAGCTGGCAGTGACTCGCTGCAGTCCACAAAACAGCCCCAAAAAGGAAGATTACTCCTATTACTGCAATACAAAAGGACCTCAGACATCAGGGTTAGTGCCCGCTCCGCGAGCTCCTGTACAAAGAGAGGCTGTATCTCAGAGTTTCTAACAAACCTTTGTTCGTGTCTTTAAAAAGCTGGTTGCCCATTCACTAATAGCAAAAAAAAAAAAAGGCATGTTTATGGCTTTTAAACTAAGCTTAGGTACGGCCCTGGTGATGCTTTCAACTTTTCTAGAAGGGCTCTGCACGTTTTGCTTATAAAATTCCTCCTTCACCAATTCGGCACAGCTATAAAATACAAACACAAGAATACATTCCTTTTTTAAATAGATGATGCAGGTCTAATTGGGTGCGCACACGTAATCTTTAGAGAATTAATGGTATGTGAATTAGCCAGATGCTCGAACACCTTCCTTAAGATTGAGAATTTAGAAAGAGAAAAAACGCAAGACTCGGGTTTTTTTTCGGTTGTTTGTTTGTTTTTAAAGAAATCAGCATCTGTCTTGTAGCCTGTTTCCTCTGACAGACTGCAGCAAGGCGAACTGCAAGCTTTCCTTTTTTCTATGGCCTCTAAATTCATTCGGATTCCCTCAAAAAACCACCAAAAACAGAAGCGTGCTTCCTGCCACAGATAGCAAGGCGAACTGCAAGCCGTCCTTTTTTCTACGGCCTCTAAATTCATTCGGATTCCCTCAAAAAAACCAAAAAAACGGAAGTGTGCTTCCTGCCACAGATTGAAGTTGCAAACGTTACCACTGCTCGCAAGAACGATGAGAGAGAGAAGTTACTGAAACATTAACCAAAGGCTGCTTTTTGATCACCCCATAAAATAGAGAATAGGAGTAGATAAGTATGCAATGTGGTGTGGGGGAAGAGAGAGCAGGCAGCCTGCTCGCTGCCTGTCGGGTGCTACTCTCTAGATCATTAGTTATGCTTTGCAGGATTTGCAGAAAACACTCTCCCTACCAGAAATACCCTCCGCATCGCACATTGTTATCTCCCAGTCCACAGGATAATCAAAAGAAAACAGATCCGATCAATTAATTACTCTTTGCAATCAAGGGAGCGGTGGATTCATGCCCAGTGCTTTTTTTTTTTTTTTTTTTCAGGTTTGGAAATTAATAATAAAAAAAGTAAAAACAATTATAGCCCCATCTGCAGATAGTAAATACTTTCTAGTGTGAGTACAGTCCGTTTTTGTAATGAATACCAATGAAAAGAGCAGCCTGCTGCGGCCAGACGTGTTGGTGGAGGGCAGGGGGAGGGCAATTGCTATCTGTATGCTGAAGGGACATTCAGACTGAGTTTGTGACATCTGCTCAAAGCCAGAATCTGTAGGAGGCCCCAGGTCTGCTATCGATCACAAAGTCAATGAAACCCTATCAGTTATCAGCAACTGAGGGCCAGCCTTTTTCCTTTTAACCAGACAAAAAGCTAGACGCTACACACAATTCCCATTTGGTATTGCAGTTAAAAGGATCCGAATAGGAAGATTCAGAGGGGGAAAAGCAGGTATTTAACAGAGTGACCTGCCATACTGATCCATCAGAAGTGGCTCCTGGTTCTCTGGGATGACCCACTTAGTGGCTGTTACCTCTCATTCAGGTGGGTCTATGTTATGTTAGTACGGTGCAAGTTCATCCAAATGTCATTCTTGTGGCTACAGCCTCTGAGGCTGTCCTAGGATTAACTCATAGATGAACAGGAAGAAAGAGTTAGAAGTATCTAAGACATGGAACAAGACCTCATCATGACCTCAGTCCAGTGGAGGGGTACAAAGATGACCAAGGGACTGGAGCATCTCTCTTATGAGGAAAGGCTGAGAGACCCAGGGCTGTTCAGCCTGGAGAAGACTGAGAGGGGATCTCATCAAGGCTTCTCAATATCTAAAGGGCAGGTGTCAACAGGATGGGGTCAGACTCTTTTCAGTGGTGCCCGGTGACAGGACGGGGGGCAACGGGCACAAACCTGAACATCAGAAGTTCCATCTAAACATGAGGAGGAACTTCTTTACTTTGAGGGTGCCAGAGC